ATGCCATCCACCGGTCTTCAAGGTATATAAATAAATGAGTATAAGCCTCCAACCAACATTTATGGACATACTTTATACTGATACTGACTAGATTCTGTAACTGTCCCACCTTTTCACATCCTCATGGCATGCCAGGCCTCTCCTTCCTACAGTTAACCCAGTTTATAACATGACATTTTGTGTGTTGATGTGCTTAATTCTGCCTTTCATAATAACCTGTCTCATGATGTCTATGGGCCCCAGGAGGGTTGAGACTGTCACTTTGACTCAGCATTCTAATCCCCACGACCCTGCCTGAAGAAGTTGGAAAAGGAAGGAAAGGGAGGCAGGGAGGGAGGGAGGGAGGACAAGGAGCCAGGCACGGTGCTGGGGACCAGGAACGCTTAGTCCAACAGCTGTGCAAGTGCTCACAGCCCAGCAAGGGGCAAGCCCGGGTCCGCTGGAAAAGGGCGAGCCCGGCAGAGGTGCCCACTGCGACTGTGGGAAGGCAGGGACAATTCAGAAAAGCTTCCCTGCAACAGACTGGGTCTCTATAGCTGCTCCAGGGACTCTGGCTTTAAGGGCAGTTCTGGTCAAGGGCAGGGACAGCAGGGAGGCACGGAGATACAGACCAGACCTACACTGGACAGGAGGCCAGGCCCAGAGGTGGCACTCCTAGGGAGAAAGAAGAGACAACTCTCACTTCCAGAAGACTCCGCTACCCTCATCCAAGGCACTTTCACCCAAAAACCCATCACTGTGTACCTTAGATTTCCCCAGATTCATACTAGCAACAGAACAAATGCCTTTCTATTCCTATTTCCCGGCTGGGGCTGTGGGTCTGTGTGCACATGAGAGAGACAACGATGAGGGGGCCGTCAGTCCACCACGCAGCAGCGCGTGGCTAAAACAGTGGGGTAGAAGCTGCCACCCCGAGGCCTGCCCTGCAAAATGGGATCCGTCTGTCTTCACCAGAGAACCATGATAAACGAGCAAAGACAGACACTGGTCAGGACAAGCCACTTTATTTAAGAGCTTCGACAGCCCAAAGTGGTTTTACATAGAGGCACGGAAGATTTATCCAGATGATAAAATACCTGAACTTGAAAGGCACATAAATTATCATTTTGCAGGGTTTTTTCCTTTTAAGATTTCACATAGTCAAGTGCTTTAAGTAATGAATGAAATGCACATAAAGTTGACTTAATTTTCACAAGAGTTGTCTGGTTAGTGACCGCGGAGAGTCTTTGCTTCTCCATGGGGCTGAGTTCAGAATCAACGCCACCCGTTTGTGTCTGCTGCCTTCTGTATCCACATCACAGTGGAGATCATTTGGAGGACTGATAAATATGATGATTACTGCCTGAGCACTCACCATACCACAGTCTGTGCACCCAGGATAGGTGCATTATGTAATCCTCCTAACAGCCCTGGGAGTTCATACTATTGAAAGAGGACTTCATCTACTTCCCCTTCCACCTCAAGCTTCCTAATTAAGTTCTTCCCAGCTCATCTCTTAACTAGGCAAGAGACCCTACAGGAAAGCATCCCCCATGGGAACCGAAACTACCCCGTCAAGCCATAGGACTGCCCTGAGCCAGCAAGGCCCCCAGGACTGACCCCAACACACTGATCGACTTGACCTTCACTGCCCACCTGCCTGTACCCACTGACCTTTGTCCCACCGTTTCCTTATATAAAGGAAGTATTTCTGGCACTTTGGCAACAATCTTTAAGATGTTAGTCTGCTGGTGTTGGCCTCACTGAAATAAATTCCTTTCTTGTTTCACCACCACTAGTCCTTCTGCGTTTGCATTTTGTCAGCGGTGAGTGGCCGAACCTGGTCTATTAGAAATCCTCCAGAGCCAGGTACTCTTGCATCCCTGCACCCCAGCTACACAATGATTCCCATTTTCCAGATGCAAAAACTGACCTTTTGAGAGTTCCTACGATGCATGTGAGGTCACATAAAGCAATTTTATCGGACTCCAAAGCTGCAGTGTTCACAATGCTACAACATACATGAAAATACCTGGCCATGAGCAAGTACTTGAAAACACTAGCTATTTCCTATCTTCATACTCCTTTATTTTATTCTATTTTATTTTTTAGATTTTATTTATTTGAGAGAGAGAGAGTGTGCATGAGCGGGGTGGGGGGGGGGGGAGGGCAGGGCCTGCGGGGAGTAGAGGAAGAGAGAGAGGGACCAGCAGGCTCCCTGCTGCACATAGAGTCAGACATGGGACTCCATCCCAGGACCTGAGATCATGACCTGAGCCGAAGTCGGGTGCTCAACGAACTGAGCCACCCAGGTGCCCCATACTCCTTTCTTTTAATCAGCACACTTTAACACAGAGAAGTCTGCCTCTCAGGTTTATATTCATTCATTCATCCATTCACCATTCATTCTGGGCCCAGTACTCTGCTGGATGCAGGATTTACAGGACTGCATTCCCCAGCTCCCTGACCAGTCTTAGGCAATTACCAAACCCCTATGAAGATCAGCATGGGGCAGGGGCAGCCCCTCACAGGGGACCCACACCGAGCTGTGGGTTAGAGATACAAACCAAACAAGACAATTTTAGATCTTTTTCACCCTGGTCCCCACCCCCTCCCTTACCCCTTAGCTTTTGCTCTGTTTCTCTGGCTAGAGTCTTCCAAGACCTCAAAGTCCAGGCCTTCTGACATGTGGCTCCCCAGGAGGCCTTTTATCAGCAGAACAGTCCTTTCTCTCGTCTGGTCTGGGCTGAAGCTTTCCGGTAAAACCAGTGCCACAGATAACCCAGCTCCTCAGCTAATCGCCCTGCACAGACCCTCAGAGCCACCCCCTCACCCCCACCTCCCACCCTCCCCCTGCCTGGTTTCACAAATTTTTGCCCAAAGTAAGGAATAAGAACAATAACATCAGCAGTAGCAACTTCCTACATGTTAGGCACTGCTCGATATATTTTAGGTACACTAACTCATTAAATCCCGTAATAATCCTCTGACCTAGGCATTATTATTATTCCTATTTTAGTTCATTTAGGGGAAGGGGGGGTTAGTATTTCTTCAGGGCCAACTATATGACAAGCATTGTTAAGCTTGCACAATCAGAGGATAAGTGATCTGCTAGGGTCCATCACAGAGCTGGGAAGTAAGGAATAAGAATCTGGACCCAGGGGCGCCTGGGTGGCTCAGTCGGTTAAGCGTCTGCCTTCGGCTTGGGTCACAATCCCAGGGTCCTAGGATCGAGTCCCACATCGGGCTCCCTGCTCAGCGGGGAGCCTACTTCTCCCTCTCCCGCTCCCCCTGCTTGTGCTCTCTCTGTCAAACAGATAAATAAAATCTTAAAAAAAAGAATCTGGATCCAGGTCTGCAATGGCCTGGCCTATGGTTCCCCTTCCCCACGGTCTGCAAGGGGGAACAGAGTGGCTGCACAAAGACAGCCCTCTCTCCCTCTTCCTCCAGCATCCTTCTGTTAACGTCTGTCCTCTGTTTTTATTACCACTATCCACAAATGGTGCCAGATTCCTCTCTCAACTGTGCTCCCTCACTCTCTGGGCCTCCCAGCCAGTTTTCATGGAGGAAATCCTAAAGCCTACAGCAACAGTGTAAACAAAGCCAAAGAAGAAATTGGGACCCTTCAAGCCAATAAAATACACGAAGAGGCTGACAGGTGTTCCCTGAAGTGCCCAACCCCCTTCTAAATCACTGGGGTTTCAAGATCTGAGGGGTCCTCAGCTAGGGACCAGAGGGTTACTGCCTCTGGGGAGGTTTTTTGGCCAGCTGTAGGGGGTGACGCCACCAATGAAAGTGAGCAAGTAACTGAGGGTCAGAACGTGAGCCCTATGTTCTGGGGGCTCATGGAACTGGCAATAACAGATGAGGCCTTTCTGGGAAATGGGTACATGGGCAGGGAAGCAGAGGGGCACTCCCAGCAAGGCCAGAGGGTCAGAAGCCTTCCACTGAGCTCCCAGAGCACTGAGCCCACAAGCTGAAACTCCCGTTTACTTCACCTGGCCCACCCTACACAAGCTCCAAGAGGGCAGGCCTGCGTCAGATTTCTCTCTGAACCCTCAGGGCCAGTCAAAAGTGAGTTCTAGTTAAATGTTTCCGGAATAAATGATCAAACCAGGCATCATTTTAGATACCAGACTGTTTGAGAGATCCTACTCAGACAAGGGAAGAGGACTCCAGGAGAGGGGAAGTGAGTTTGCTCAGAGGCAGGCACACACTTTAGAGTCCAGATCAACATCCTAATCCATCCAGAAACGTTTTCACCTGTACTTCATTTACTGACCCCTGGAACACCGCTAAGTCATGTAAATTCAACAGCTCAATCTTCAGTAGGCACGGTCCTATTTTACAGAGCAGGAAGTTCAGCAACTGGTTTCCCCACGGGTCCCTGCAGGCAGGCCCCGCATACCTTCTTTCCTCAAACAAGCCACATTCTCTAACAAAATGTGTTTACTCTGTTGTTCTCCACCCTGGAACTGTTGGACTCATGTTGAAGTTTGCGCTCCAGCAGCCTTCACAGATGGGGACCGCCGGTTTAATGCTCGCCCGACTCCCTACACTTTGTATCTACACGGCTCTTAGCACAGTTCTACCGTTTACACTATGTGTGTAGATTATCTACTGGCTGTGGGGGGTCTTTCCCACCAGACTGTGAGCTCCAGCGCGGCGGGCACCATGTTCGCTCGCCCACCTCTATATGCCCAGCACTTGGCCCAGTGGCAGGCACTCGGTGGCACACGGTAAGTATCTGCTGGATACGTCTTTGTATCTGCAGGCTGCCGGAGTAGGGGAAGGTGGGATCCGAACTCTTGTCTGCCGGCCTCCGGTCGGAGCGATAGGGGTACTGGGTCTTAGGCTGACCACAATGCGGCGAGAATGGGCGGCGCGAGGGGTACAGAGGAGGCGTTCTGGCGTCCATCCTACCCTGGACTGCTGCCGGGCTCCGCACCCCACCGCCACCTGTCGCCCCTCCGCGCCCAGGTGTGGGCCCGCGAGGGCTAAGGCGGGCTGGTGGCACTTACCTGCGCGTGGCGGGGCTCCGCAGAGGCTCTCTGTGAGCCTCGGGGGACTGCCAGGGACTGGGGTATCCGCCACACCGAACCCGGGATCCTGGCCAGCACTCGGCCCTGCACGGGAGGACCGCGCCGTACAGCGCCTGCTCTCGCGACGCAAGGCCCTCTCCGCCCGGCCGCCCTGGGAGGAGCCCGCCCCGCCCCCGAGCGCCGAGGGGGGGCGGGCCTAAGGTGAACTTGACCCCACGCTCCCCGGGCGCCCCGCCGTGGGCGGAGCCAGAGGAAAACTCAGCTCTGCGCCCCGCCCCCTCGGTAGGGGCTGTCCCTAAGGGGGAGGGGCCCTGCGCCCCGCCTCTTCGAAGCCCCGCCCACCAGCCCCACCCCCAACCCCACCTCTGCTCTCCCCCAGTGGTCTTACTGTGTTGTGTGCCTCTCTGCTTTTAATTTTCCTGTTTTGTATTCCCGTTTTATTTCTTATTTTTATTTCTTATAATTATTTTCTTATAATTATTTAATCTTATTTTATTTCTTATAATTATTTATTTTTATAAGATTGAATTAAAAGATATAGCAAAGTAATGCATGAACACTCTTTACAAAATAAAGTTATCTAAATGTTCTTATAATGAAAGCAACAGGCCCTTCTCCCTTGCTCCCTACACACAGCCCTTTGTATCAGTTCCTCCATTTAGTTCTTCTGGTGGTCACCCCCTTATCACTAAAAAAATAAGCTTACATAGCGATTTCTTGATTTATCTATTGACTTTCTGCCATGTTAGATGAGGATTTACTCTCTTTCTGTGCCCCTGCTTCCCTTCTCCTGACAAATTTACACCTCTGTTCTTAAGTCCTGCCCTGGTGAGCTCTGAGACCTCAAGGCAGGAGTAGAGGAAGGTTTTCTGGGACCTGCAGCTAATACAATTTTGGCGGCAGGGAGAAAGGAAGGTTATTTTAGAATGGCCTACGGAATTAAGGCTTGCAAATGAACATTTATTTGGAATGAGCAAAATCCTGAGACCTAGGAAATTCAGGTCTCTGTCCCCTGATGATGAGGGAACAGAAGGCTAACAGAAGACAAAGCACAAGCTGACACCCTGCAAACTCCCCCCCACCCCCCATTCCTGGATGGAACATGTGTGACATTCTTCCAGGAATCTCCCAATTATCTTAATGTTAATGCCTTGCCAAAGGGAAAAACAACCTTATCTTGATAATAGCCAGGCCTCCAGTATCCTGAGGGTCTTCTTTAACATATGAAAATCCTTTTGAAACTTCCCTTTTCCTTACTTCCCCCAACTCCTGAGTATATAATCAGCCACTCCTCAAGACCCCGGTGCCGCAACTGTTTCTGCCCATGGGTGTTGTCCCTGTGCTTTAATAAAACCACCTTTTTGCACCAAAGACATTGGTCCTCAGCTCCAGACCTCAACCCACCAAACCTCACCTATATTCCAAAACCCTATCACTGGGACTTTCTTAGATAATTTACTTCCTGAATTTGCTTCTCCAGTGTGGACGATCTTCCTCTGCCCATGCAGAATCCTCCACAACTCCCAACCCTCTCAGGGGTCATGAGGTGAAGGTCAAGATTCATCTGTTTCTGCCAATAGGATTTCTTAATGAAGTGAACTAGAGTGTGCAAGAAAGAGAGGAGTCAAGAATGATGTCAAGGTTTTGTGATTGCTGCACAGCTTTTCCTAGCATCAGTGACAAGTTCTTACTTAACCTTAGTAGGAAGTAGGAAGGAATTTTTTTTTTTTTAAAGATTTTATTTATTTATTTGACAGAGACAGAGACAGCGAGAGCAGGAACACAAGCAGGGGGAGTGGGGAGGGAGAAGCAGGCTTCCCGCTGAGCAGGGAGCCCGATGCGGGGCTCGATCCCAGGACCCTGGGATCATGACCTGAGCCGAAGGCAGACGCTTAATGACTGAGCCACCCAGGCGCCCCGGAAGAGAGTTTTATAAAGCTGGCTCTGGGCCCCTGCCTGGTCACAGTGCTCCAATGAGGTTGGCTGGACCTGCTCACTGTCCCCACTTTAGGAGGGCTCGTACTTATCCCTCTTGTATCAGTGCACACAGCTAGTCCCCAGTAAGTGCCCAGGTGAAAGGGCTTGGTCTCCCCTCCTCACTCAGATGAAAGAAACAGTGTCCCCACCCTCCCTGACACCCCTTCTCTCTTCAGGGTTCAGCCGTTTCCCCTTCCTCTGCTCTGCCTTCTCTTCTGCTCACTCTCTTTCCCTTGCCCAGCTCCTGAGGGTAGAGGACTTGGGAGTAACTCCAACTGAGGATGTGAAATGTGGCTCTACAAGGTGACTTTGGGCAAAGTTACTTTCCCAATCCAAGCCTGTTTCCTTCTCTGAAATTGGAGATAACAATCTCTACCACATTCAGTTTAGGGGAGAATTAAGTGGCTTAACAGCCATGTATACAAGGATTTTTTTCATTTTTAAAAATTTTGTTTCTCTAACTCACAAATTTTAAATATTAAAATTAAACTTATTGACTATGAAAATTAATTGCGCTTCTCTTTTTTATTGCCCCTGGATTTTGTGTCATACTTAGAAAGGCCATTCATTCCCACTCTAAGATTTTTTTTTTTTAATTCAAGTATAATTACCTTTGGATGTTCTTTTATTCATAACTCAGTTTGTCTCCTAGCAGAGTAGAGGGAGGCACATGAGAAAGGTTAGGGACTTCTAAGAATCTGTGTAGCATGTTGGTACCATAGGTTGGAGTAAAATGAAGGGCTAAATCGGGGTGCTTGGCTGGCTCAGTCAGTGGAGTGTGTGACTCTTGATCTTGGGGTCTTGAGTTTGAGCTCTACTTTGGGTGTAGATATTACTTAAAAAAAAAAAAATCAAAGGCTAAGTCATGCTGAGTCAGAGTCTTGACCCTGGACACAAAGAACAAGAGGGATACTGGGCAGTGACTTCCCCACGCAAGGGACTCTTCTTTTCCTGGGGCAGAGAAGACTAAGTCTCCTCTAGAAGGATGCCTGTCTTCTGGGCACGAAATAGTGTCTCCTAGTGGTAGGAGGTAAGACCCTCACACAACAGCCATGCTTACTCTAACCTAAGTGGGAGAGGAGCTGAACTCTTCAGAGAGACTGGAGAAACAGCTCCTAATATTTTAGAAGGGGAATACATATCTAGATCAGAGTCATGTCCTTTGCTTGAGGGCAGGAAGGGCAGCTACTGGATTTTGGGTTTAATGGGGATAAAACTTTTGGTAACTTTCATTTCTCCTGAATCCTATCATCATCATGGCCCAGGAAGGAGGAGAATTTCACATAGAGGGTGTCTCAGTTTGGGTGCCTTGGAAGCAGATCCTGAAACAAGGATTCAAGTACGATTGGTTTATTTGGGAGATACAGGGAACACCAGCAGAAGAATGGAGAAGGATGAAGAATGGAGGGAAGAAAAGGCAGTCCAGTAAAGGATGAATTGTTAAGCCAGCTACTAGATTGGAGCTTACTCCTGTGAGAAAACTCTAAAAGTTGTAAAGCACATGCCTCAGAATTATTCTACCCAAGAAAAGGCTGTAGGTGGGAGGTCTCTAAAGAGAAAAAACTGGAATGGACAGATTAGCTCATTTTTGAACATTTTTCAAATTATTTCTAGGCATAAAAATGTGGTCACCCAGTGAGATCAAGCTGTAACATGTGTTTACTTTCCTCCTATCACCTAACAACGGTGTTATGACAAAGTTTCAGTAGGAGCATCTGGGGCAGTAACCAATGTGCAGATAGCTGAGAGTCCGTGTCTCAGGCCTAGAAGTGTGTCCTGAGGACATTCTGGAAAACCCGCTCTCAGACAGATTGTGATGGGACTTCAGCTGGATCAGCCTCTGCATTTGGTTGAGCCCATAATCTTGACTTGTGAGCTCTCACAAGAAAGGGCATGCTTTGGCTGAGTAAAAATAACACATAAAAAAATGTGACTGGTGGACTTTTAAGATGACCAACGAGGGCAAACTTTTCAATCACTGTAAGTACTTCAGAAGATGGGTGTTTTCTCACAAGCAGTGAACAGATAATGCCAATGCCAAGTTTTTCTTATATGGCCTCTCAAGCAGGCTTCCACGAGAAAGTTGTCATTTTGTCAACCTGGCTTCATCAGCCATACTTGCTATTGAACTAAAGTGATCCTTTTAAAACATGAGACCGTTCCCAATATGCCCCTGATTATAAGCACCCCCGTGGCTTCTACCACAATTAGGGTCAAATCCCAGGTCCTTCTCAATTGCCTCCAAGGCCCTCATGAGATCTTCCCCGACAAGCTCTTCCTGACATTGTCTTCTGACAGTGACCCCTGGGCATTCCTTGCCTCCAGTCTCCTTGGCTTTGCTGTGTCCCTGTTGTCCCTGGAACACACTGGGTCTGTTTGCACCCCAGAGTTACTGCATGCCTATTCTCGCTGATTAAATGCTACACTCCCCCGACTCATAAGGGAACTTGCTCAATTCACCAACTTTCTAATAGACCACTAACTGACAAACAAACACTCTCATACTATCCCATTCATAGCACTTATTATCTGTCATTGGGGTAGATGTTTAGTTATTATTTGTGTAATAAATAAGTATAAGGTCCAAAAAGGGCTGACTCTCTATGTATTTTTTTCTCTGACATATCCCCACACTTAGAACAAACAGTGCCTGATGCCCAGTAGGTACTTAATAAATATTCGTTGAATGAATCAATCAATTGAATTGACTGAACAAAAAATATAAGCAAAATCAGTAAATACATAGTTCAAAAATATTCTAGAATGAGGACTTCCAATGACTCCAGATTGGATTCTGTCAAAGAATTGTTGGAGCAGAGTGAGAAAAAATAAAATAAAATGAAGTGGTTGAGATGCATTATATAATCAGATTCACAATTACAGATGAGTACTGGAGTGAGGACCTTTGCTATTTTGTCTTTGACCCCATGTCTGTGTTAAATATTTAAGAAAAGGCTAGCTTAAAAGGCTTCATACTCATTTAAAAGTAGTAAGAAGATAAAAGTTTCCCCCAGTCATTTTAATAATTCAGAATGGTGTTCTGTGGCTTCTGTTGGCATTTGAGGGCCCAAGATAGTAACCACTTACCCGAAAATAGAGGCCTTGATCAAATATTTAAGATCTCACTTATTTTCATTTTCTGCGTATTTTTTTTATTCCTGTGTCCCACTTCTTTTTACCCATTCTGCAGCTGCACAACTCACACACTAAAGCAAATAGA